AGACACCCCGCAGATATCTCGTTCATCCAGTGTCTTCGTTACACGACACATATCTCCATATTGATTTGTGACCTCTTCGTTTTCGTATGGCAAGCATGCCAGTGCTTCTTCGATCAACAACCGTGCCAAGCGAGTCACTCGCTGTTGAAATACCGATGTGCTGATACTATTATCCCTTAGTGTCGACACCAAGCTCATACAGTGACGCGAGTGTGCTGAAGCCTCGTGTACTTGAAATGGCAGGGAAACGGTCAGCTCTTGCATCACCCCTGGAAAAGGATTCTGTTGACTACTCGCTCGGGTTCTGTACTGGTGTGACGCAGTAGCTTCGTCTTCAGTCTCGGAAGTGCCACTTGTATAATCGTTGTGTGAGCGTCGAAGCTGAATGGTATCGACAGGTACACAGGGGGAGAGTGCTATTGGACCAACCATATCCGCTTGAGAAATTATGTTCGTCGATAGTGGGCTGGTTGCCTTTTTGTGAGACTTTTTTGGGTGTGTTGCTCTCGGATCATTTGCTGCGCGGGCAAGTATTTCTTGGCGGTTTTTTGTAGAGGTTGCAAACCGCAGCACGGCTCACGCTAAACTCCTTGGCAAGCGTGACTGCTGCTCACCGTCATCGATCCGCTTAATGATCTCCCGTCGATCTCTTTCGCACAGATATCTTGATGTGCGTTTGCGCTGAGGGGCAGCTAGCTGGACAGTTATCTTCATGTTGGGTGCCTCGCTGCTTTGATCATACATTTCGGGTACATTTCCACGCTGATCTTGATCGAAAGGAATCTTGCTATTAATCCACGACAACAACGCTGTTTCTAGTTTCTTGTCAGGGTCGATTACCAAATCCATGCAACAGTATTGGTTTCTCTTGCGCACGTCGCTGTTTGAATGATTTTCCATGGCTGGAGTAGGATACGAGATTAAGACCTCGATTTGGACGGCATCTTCTCGCCTGATCTCCGTGGTGGACGTCTCTGTGGAATTCTGCACCATTACTCAGCACCAGTCTTTGACTTCGGTGAGAAAACTCGACTGAGGGATCACCTAGGCCCATTTCGCTGCTTTATGCTGTAGGTACGGATATACTAACAATGAATATCTGATCGCGTGGCCCGGGTATCGGGGACACTCGATACACACGTCACTATTGCTATCGCGACAACGGATTTTTACAGTAGTGAAGCTGTATTGTAAAATAGCCCAGGTCTTCCGACCACCTGCTATTTCGGCCATGCCAGCAATGATGAGGTCAGCTTTTCAGCAACACCATTGATGTGTGGTTTCGCCATGGAAGCATCGACAAACATACCAGGGCCTAATCGCTTGAATTAATACCCGTTAGAGATGTGATCCAACAAATATCCCCGCTCGTTGAGAGCCCTGAGCAAAAAGGTATTGTAGCAGAATTCGTTACCCTTTTTCGGGCGTGATATCTGATGTCTCTTATTGTAAGCTCCGGTTATTTTTAGGATGCAGGGCTTCGGTGTTGAAAAATGTAATATCACTAGAATTATCTATTTTAATAAAACTGTCTATTTTTATTCGATAGCTATAATG